AAAATCTTCATCATGAGTCCTCGAAGTAAAGAGCGAAGGTAAGAAAAGAAAGACATGGCCGACAAGGAGATGAAGAACAAACTCGAGGACTTGGGCGTGCGAGTCCGAAACCTAGGCGAAGGGTTCGACACCACCACCACATCGGTGCGGGATTTAATAGAGAACATGAATCGAAGGTTCGACGAGATGGCGCACAACTTCCAACACCGGCAGGCGCGGCCATCACTGCGGCCGCACGAGAGCGAACGACCCAGGGAGTACGATCGACATTACACCAAGTGCAAACAAGAGGAGGATGTCGAGCAGCGGCCTCAGGCATCAAATATTCATGACCACCCACGGCTCGACGAGTGCTTAAGGATTGCGCATCGACCAACTGCGAACGATGATCGACCACAACCGCATAAAAGCGCGACCACCACCTTACGGGTACGATCGGTCGAGGAGAGAGCGCGAGCAAGCTGAGATCAAGCAAGAGGAGTCGCGAGTAAGCGACAAGGCCCAAGGCGAGTCCAAGAATGCGACAGAGGTCGAACTGGTCGAGCATGATAAGTGCGAGACAAAAATTACGGTCAAGAAAGAAATGCACGAATGGTCAAGGCTCCAAGGCTCGAAAAGGGTGAAGTGACACACATCGAGGTCGAGGCCGAAGGAGCCGAAGTGTTCGAAGTCGAGAGCGAGGTCATGGTCGAGGTCGACGAGGACCGTGAGTGGGATGTGCGAGTGATCGAAGAAGGAGTGCCCGAAGTTTGGATGTTCTATGATGAGTCCTTGAGGGCAAGGACATTCTCAAAGGGGGCGGGAATGATGCGGAAGTGGGTTTCGAGCCCCGACGACAAGAAGGACCAAGAGCCGAGACGACCCAAGGAGGCTGAAAATAGGGCCAAAACGACGCACGCATGGCCCAAGAGGCGGGTACGAGCTCGTATGAGAGGTACTCAAGCACATGAGAAGCGGCATGAGTCCACGCGAACACGAGGTAGTCGACAGATATCTTGTGCAAAGGAGCGGGTACGCGTGAAAAGAGCTCGCACGTTCACAAAGATACGCGCACGAAGACGCTGCATGAGCCTGAGGAGCATGAGGTATAAGCGCATAGCACGGACAGGCTTGGATCGAGGAGTTCGCATAGGCGTGAACCGTGGTAGCCGACGAAAGGCCCAACAGATCGATGCACGAGCGCATGAGGCGAAACTGGTGAGCCGAGTGTCGGCCATACATGGGTTGACTATACAAGGATCGAGCGTGAGTGGGTCGAAGCTTGTAGGTCAAGAGATAGTGCGCGATCAAGCACCTGGAAGAGAACGCGGGTTGGACGCGCGATCACACAAGTCGGCCAAGGAAGGTCGCGCATGGAGGAATGCAAGGGCACGCAAAAGGGTGGTCCATAATTGGGCGACAAGCGAACGCAAGAAAGGGCTCATTACACAAGGGTGCGAACACGCGCATTGGCATAGACGCGCATGGCGCTTGGAGATTAGGCGAAGTGGTGCGCAGGGGGAGGATGTCGGGAGGTTAATGCGCACGAGGGATTGCAACAAATGGACGAGCGCGCATCGGGCGTTGGATGATATGCGGACAGCGTTGGTCGCATGTAGGCGCGCAGTAGGCGGACGGAGCACTGGGGCGCTGAGTGGGACACGCGGTCCAGTGGACAGGCGCGGGAATCGCGCGGGGTTATCGAGCGTGGGCAGCAGCCGCGCGGTTGACAAGGACGCGCGAGAGCAGGGTAACCAGATGGGCGAGCGCGCGATGGGGAGTGAGTGGTGCGCAGGCGCGCGAAGCCTAGGCCGTGTAGGAACAGGCGAAGGAGAGACAGCGCATGGGCGAGCCGCGTGTGCAGTTGGCGACGCGTGCGAGATGGGCGAAGACCTAGGCCTAGTAAGCTTAGGCAAGACAAGCGACGCGCAAGCAGGCATTGGTCTTGACCGAGTAGGAGTAGACGCGCTAGGCGACACGCGCGAGACACAAGTCAAAACTGAGGTGACAAGCCTAATCCTCATAGGAATAGGTAAGACACGAATCCTAGACCCCGCAGGACTAGGAAAAGCAGCTGAGTGCCGGAACGCGCGTGAAGGATCGGTGACGGGAGTATTCCTCGGAAGATCAGGTAACATAGTCGGGAGCATATTCCTAGTAGGAATAGGCAAGGTGGTTATGGGCTCGAAGTCTGATCCTTCAAGGAATAGGAATAGCGTACATAAGGCGCGAGACCTTACTCCTCGAGGCAAGCAGATAGGCGGGCGTAGGAGACGCGACCTTAGTCCTCGAGGATTAAGTCAAGGTGGCGTGAGGCGGTGGAGAAGGCCTAGGTGGCGTGAAAGAGAGAGAGAGGAGGTTGGAAAGTCTTCTACTTGGAGTGCAATAAAAGACTACTTGGAGTGCAAGCCAAGGCATTAGATCCCCTAGCTATTTGGTTTCCTTATTGCATTATAATATCTAGATTGGTTAGAATACTTCATATTTTATTACTTTATTAGTTTCCTAGGTAGAATAGACTTAGATCTAGTTGGTGCCTATATAAAGGCCCCTTCCCCTATGTTATTATTATTAATTCAATCATCCAAGAAGTCAATAGAAATCTAGAACTTTGTTCTTCCAACTTTGCTTTAGTCTTTTCACCAGAATACTATTGCAATTTTATCGTTTCAATAGGCGCGGTTGTGGCTAGAGAAACACTATCGGCGATTCAAGGCGCGGGTTAGCGGCTTATCGACAGTCGAAACACACGATCCTCATCACAGCACCCGTGCGTGCCCAGCAGCACCAGCCACGCCCCGACCGTGCCAGCGAGCAGCCCGGGGCCCGACCCATGCCTTTCTTATATTCTTTCGAACCCTTGTGTGTGCCTTTGACTGGTTTGACCTCGTTTTGCATGCTAGGCCTTTATATGGTATTTTTATGCGTTTTTGTCAAGTCTAAGTGTTAGGCCCAAGTGTTCCAATATCCACGGAACGTCACGAACTACTTGGTTGAATCAAGTTCGACCAATGTATGCTTGTGATTGTTCTCTAAGGTCAAATAGATGTTGATCTTAGTATTAAATTATTGTAGGTGTCTGACGAGCCGTGCTCGCTGCCTACTCCCGTTGTGTGCCATATTTCCTTGCTGTACCAGGTGGGTTTACTTATAAAAATTATCTATGCCATACGTGTATTTAAGTGTTTGGTTGGTATGACCAATGTATGAATGTGAACCATGTGGCCTACTGATGTGAGCTGTTACGGCTGTCGGTACGGTTGCCCCGTCGAGTTACGGTACGGTTGCCCTTGCGAGGCAATCTCCCTAAGTCCTAATGAAAGGCCATATCGGACTAAGTCACATGGCGTGCTTTCGATATGCGTGTCGAACTAAGTCACATGGCGTGCTTTCGACATGTACTCCTATTGTCTGGTTGACGAGCTAAGTCACATGGCGTGCCCTCAAACAGACCAACAGTAGCTAATGATAGGTGTGTACACATGAGTGAGTTATTGTTGAGATTAGGAGATGAGACATGATGATGATTGATTTATATTCATACTGCGACCATACCATCTTAACATGTATTATTTATGTGCATAGTGGTGAGCACGCTTTTCATTTAGTGCTCATCCCCACCTGCTCTTTACCGATGCAGGTTAAGCAGGAGCTGGGTGACGAGAAGAGGCGAGTGGGTCGGTCAATTTTATTTATTGCTTCCGTATGAATAAGGCTTTATGAACCCTTTTGTTGAGACTTGATTATGTTATTTCCGAGAACTTATGACTTGCTTGTTTTGGAAATTTGTGGAACCCGGATTGTTGGGTATTATGAATTGATTTTACATCCATGTTGAGAATTATGTTTTGTGATATGTTTCGGTTAATGAAAACCGTTTGTGAAAACTGGGTAATGAATCCTCGTGAGCCCAGATAAGACTTAGGTTGTGAAAAATGTTGTTTAACGCCCATTGTATTTTCGAAAATGATTTTGAAATTTTACACTGATTTTTGGAAAGTCCGAAATTTCTTTAAAATCAAAGTGGGGTGTTACAATAGGTATCCCCTTGGCAAGGGGATTTTGAGAGCTCGTGGATGCGGGCAGCCTCACGTGCATGAGAAGACGGGAATCGAGCCGAGCGTTACACTGCGACGCGCTTGGAGTTTTTGCATTTTTGTTTTGCTTAGACTTGAGTGAGTAGCCTACGTGTGGTTGCCCTCTTAGACTTATGACCTGCAAGTGAGGAGCCGTGCATGTGGCTGCCCACTGCGCTTTTGTAGGCCGTCTGTCGTTCGTTCGAACACCAAGTTTGATCTATAAATTTACTTTTACCAAATAAAAAAAAAAGTGTAAAGCGAAGTATTTATTTGTGTGTGAATATATATATATATATATATTCAAAAGAAGGATAGAGATATTAGTACTGTACTCATTTTCTTATTCCAATGGACCACTTATCTTGGGTATTAAATAAAGCAAATCATAATTCAAAAATAGTATTAAGAGCCCAGAAATGCATTCATTTCCTGTGGACTTGCAACAACTCTGACACTCATCTGCTGTATTAAATGGATTAAAAATGTATAATAATAACTAAAGTGATAGAGATTTGAACAGCATTTACAGCTTGTATGCATCTGCTACCTGCTGCTTCTTGGCAGGACATTTCCATTTTTAATTAGTGTTTAATTAATTCATTTATCTTTGCTATATTCTCACAAATATTATTCCACCTTCATTTGATCTCATTCATCTAACAACAACTAGCTAGCAAGTTGCACTACGCAAAAGGTAATCAACAGTCCCCACTCTCATTCATTGTCACACACAATAAATAAATCAAGGCTACAATAATACACATCTTGTTGCTATTATCATTATTAACTTTTTGTGTTTTGGAAACACACTGACATTCAAAAAAATAATAATAATATAGGCTTTCAACAAGAAGAGTGGAGTCATCCTCTTTTTCTCCATGATCATTCATGGCTGCCGCCCAATTTCATTTCCTTGATTTTGTTCAGTTAAAAACACAAACAATGCGAGATTCTCCTCGTAAATTTTCTTTGTTAGCTGCTGCTGCCATTTTTGTGCTCCTCCAATTTCTGCCATCCTCAACCGCCCAGCTATCTCCAAGAGAAACGAGAATCTTATTCCAAGCCCGCCAGCTTCTGGAATTCCCACCCTCGCTCCAAACCTGGAACAACTGGACCAACTTCTGCTTTCTGTCCCAAACTCCTTCCCTCACCATCGTCTGCACCGACAACCACGTCACCGAACTAACCATCGTCGGCAACCGGACTTCACCGTCCCGAATCCCAAACCACTCTTTGTCCAACTTTTCCGTCCCCGGCGGACCTCTCTCCAAAAATTTCTCGATCGACTCCTTCTTCACCATCCTTACCAAGCTCTCGAGTCTGCAGAAGCTGTCACTGGTCTCGCTCGGGCTGTGGGGCCCGCTGCCTCCCAAGGTTAACCGCTTCAGATCCCTCCAGCTCCTCAACCTCAGCGCCAACTTCCTGCTCGGAGAAATTCCCCAGTCGGTCGCCACCTACCGGAGCCTCAAGACCCTCGCTCTCACCGACAACCTGCTCAACGGCACCGTGCCGGATCTGCCGCTCCTGGAGGAGCTCGATCTCAGCAGAAATTCTCTAGGCCCTAAATTTCCGTCTCTAGGGACCAATCTCGTTCACCTCTCGCTCGCGAATAACTCGTTCAGATCCGAAATCCCGCAGACTTTGGAAAAAATGAGACAGCTCAGAGCACTGGACTTGTCGTCCAATAAGCTCCTGGGCCCCATCCCGTCGTTCCTGTTCTCTCTGCCCGCGCTCAAGCGGGTTAACCTCGCCAGGAACCAGCTGAGCGGCGCGTTCGCGCCCAACGCGACGTGTAGCCGGAATCTGACTTGGGTGGACGTGTCGAGCAATCTCCTGATCGGGAGACTGCCGTCCTGCCTCAATTCGAATAGAGCGGTTAGTGTTGTCGTTGCGTGGAACTGTTTTTCGAACACGAGCTCCAAGTATCAGAGGCCGTCCTCATTCTGTCAGAAGGAGGCGCTGGCGGTGAAGCCTCCGGAGAGGAGGCCGGCGGGGGAGGAGCCGACCCTGAGGCTCGGGATTGTGCTCGGGATAATTGGGGCGATTATAGCGGTGCTGGGAGTGGTGGGGTTGCTGGCCGTGGTGGTTTTCAGGTGGGTGAGGAGGAGAAGGAAAGCGGGTGAGTATAAGTGTGAGAGCTTTGTCATTGACAAGAATCCCCTGGGTACTTCTCCATTAACAAGTAAGTGGCTTGTCATATCATTTTCATTTTCTTTTTTTTTTTTTTTTGTTTTTTTTTATCCTTAAATTTCAAGATTGTGATTTGAATTTTATTTTATTTATTTATTTATTTTTTTTCCGGGAATAGGGCATGTGCCGGGGCAGATGAGAATGACGTCGCTTGGGCTGCCACCGTATCACGTTTTCACGCTTGAGGAAATGGAAGATGCAACCAAGAATTTCAACCCCTCTAATCTAGTAAGAGAAGGATCACAGGGTCAGGTAAAAAGATACAAACTTGATTGATTGTCACAAGCTGGAAAATGAAACTTTATGTACTTGTTGCTGTTTTTTATGGGGCTTACAAAATTGGTCATGATATTCTTCAGCCTCATTCTCAAAACTACTAATGGCCACTCTCAGGTGGTTCTGAAACTTCTAATGAAGGGTGATTTTCTTGTGATAAATATGTAAACCTTTACATTTGAGATCATAAGGTTGTGAGAATTGTTGTAATCAGCTATATCAGATTTGTGATTCTGTTCTTTAGTTTCACTTTTTAACAAATACAGGACTTTTGAAATGGCAAAAGATGAAGAGTATCCATCATCTTTATTAGTTGCATAGCAAAAGTTTGGTGTTAATCACTATTATTATTAGTTTGGCAGTCGGTGTCCATTAACATAACTCATTTACAATTCTTTTATTTTTTATTTTTTTTTTGGTTATTTTTCTCTTTGGGAATAGCTCTACAAGGGATGGCTTAGAGATGGGTCTGTGGTCCTAATTAAATGCCTGAAACTGAAACATAAGCATTCATCTCAAGCCCTGCAGCAACACATGGACATTATATCCCGGCTCAGGCATCGGCATTTGGTCAGTGTCTTAGGCCACTGTATTGTGACATACCAGGACCATCCTAACACAGCTAGCACTGTCTTTATTGTGCTCGAAAATATTTCCAATGGCTCTTTGAGCGACCACCTTACCGGTAACAACACTTGACAAAATCTACCACACTTGTATAAAGAATCAAGCACTTGATTTATTATATTCATTCATTTGCATTCTTGAAAAAAATTACAGATTGGAGGAAAAGGGAGGTCTTGAAATGGCCGCAGAGAATGGGAGTAAGTATGGGCATTGCCAGGGGCATTCAATACTTGCATAATGGAGGGATTCTTGGAAATGACTTGAGAATCGACAACATTTTACTGGATGAGAGTCTCGCGGCAAAAATTAGCAGCTATAACATTAACTTGCCGTCTAAGGTGACTTTTAAATTGTTTTTTTTTTTTTTTTTTTTTTT